ACATTCAAAAACTAGTTGTTAACGTTACTACTTATTATTTTAACATAAAAAAAACTAGTTGTTATTACTGTTCTTTCCATTATATGGGCAAGTGTTGCCTGATATTGCATTCTTGGGGATTAACATTCTCGCCATGGGTAATATATAACATGTAGTATGGCCATTGACTAGCTGTCAATATAAAAAACATGCACAATTGAAATCAATTGCTCCTGACATCACATAAGAAATCTTTGTATTTCAGATTTGATAATTAAGAATCTAATTTCCTCACTTAAAAATGACGTGAACTAGCTCCTAATGAGCATCAATTCTGGTTATCTTTTCCTAAACTATCTACATGCCAATAGTGACAATCCCAATGTACATGTGTATGTAGATATAGCATAGCTAGATTTCAATCAAAGACTTTATCATCACTTCATAAAAAACATATTTTTGCAAAAGACAAGAATAAAGAAAATTGTTGTACATCCTCAAATGTGTGAGTCTACTTCCAATACGTCTTGCTAAAGTATGATACACTAGAATTACCTTTTCACTGTATCACTGCGATGTACATTTTCAATTGCTTATAATACCTAGAAATTTAGCGTCAGCAACTCACAAACCAAGGAAAACACACATTACTCCTTTGTGTATATATCATACTAATCAGCCAAAATCACAGTTGCTTGCAGTAACGCCCTTCCTCGCTAGGGAACATTATATTAATCTTTACAGTGTCCAGCACAAGTTGCTCTCCTCAAAAAACAGAAGAGTCGTACACAAAACAAACTTTCCTACAGACTACACCGGCAAACGACAGCTTTTTCAAAAGCACTTGTTTTCTTCATTTCCACGAAATTTCAGGAACAACATGGACACAACAGGTCGTTTCTCTGGTGTGTGCTGAGGGCGACATCAGCGAAGTTAGCAAAGTCCCTGTACAAGTACGTACGCCCTGGCTCGAGACACTGGATTGGACAGATGTAGCTGTAGGTGAAGGAGTGCTCATGCCGATACTACTGAAGAGCGCCCCCTCTCCGCGACTGATGCAAACGCACCTGCCCTACCGCCTGTTACCCCAGCAAGCCAGGGACGGGAAAGGAAAGGTGTTGTTCACCGCTCCTCAACGCTTTTTAAATTGTACATGTGAATGACTCACTTTATTATATCAACGAGGAGGATAATATGTGTTCTTCCTCTGTTTCTTCCTCTTCTTTTTCTTCTTCTTCTCCAAACGCACAAGGTCATTGACCTGGGACGGACGGCTGTCACCATGGTTACTGGTGCTGTATAGCAGACACCCTGTGGTGTTGGGTTACATTAGCAGGGCAGAGCTGAAGGAGTTGGTCAGCATTTTATATATGAATGTGGTTGATTAAACATTGACAGAGGAGCAGTAGTTTGTTGGTTTACATTAACGTTATGCATTTTTGGGGGAATGTAAGCTTGGGTGGAAAATGTCTACATTTCTTTCTTTGTTTTACTAGATAATCTACTGTGCTCGGAACGTCAAAGATGTGGTCGTTTCGTGGCACAACATGAGAAGGATGGTGCAACATATGCCCTGCGGAACCTGGGAGGAGAACTTCCAGGACTTTATTACTCCGGACCTAGGTCAGTATCCTGCTGCATGTATCAAAAGCTCAGGAACTATATATATAAACAGGAGACTAATATCACTTCTTGATTGTATATGTCCCAAATATTTGATATGTCATTTGATGGGTGTAAATTAAAATCTTGTGATTTTCAGCATGGGGGTATTTTAAGTCAAGACCGATTTGATCTTTAATACGTAAATTATGATTTAATGTACATAATCAAGGCCGTGTTTTTATGTTGCTTGTATCAACAGCTTTTTACGGTTTCTGGTGGGACGTCATTCCGGAGTACTGGCGACACAAGGATGACGGCAACATGCTCTTTATCAAGTTTGAAGACCTCAAGCGGGTAGGTTTTGACTTGCATATCAATAGTAGACCCACTCGACTTTCACGGATCGCATAAACTGCTTACGTCACGGGGGGAGGGCATTTCGAAAGAACGTCGTTCTAGAACGCTGAAGTGGCTTGCGCTCGCGGTGTCCCCCCTGGCAGATTATTTTTTTACTTAAGGCAGGTAAGTGTCAATTTTCTCGGTAATATATGCGGAAATGACAGGAAAACAGGCACCAACTTTGTATGGTGGCATTCTGTACAACGATTTAAGGTTATTTTGTTCTGTGACGTATGCAGTTTATGCGATCCGTGAAAGGAACTTTTGAAATGTCCCCTCTGTGACGTAGTTTCTATTCGAAATGTCCCCCCCTGTGACGTAAACAGTTTACGGGATCCGTGAAAGTCTAAAGGGTCTATTATGACGTGATCTCTCGACAAGCATGACGGCCAAATGTAAGAATATCGTTCGACAGATTCCGTTCTCTAAGCCGAATCACATTTCACCAAGTTCGATCGCACGTCATTCGAACTGAACGCGTGTTCCATTTGGGGTAACTGGTGATCATTTATCGGGCGACGTTGATTGGTTGCAGTGTTTATGGGTTTTAAACAGCACGGTTTTTATGGGATCTTTTTATTACCACTGGTAAGCTTATGTCGTCATAACAAATGTGAAATTAATGTCAATGTCATATTTTTTTTCACCTTGAATATTCGACGGTGTACATGTTGACACGAAGGACCTGCGAGGTCACGTGGTGAAGATCGCAAACTTCCTGGGCAAGACTCTGTCAGAGCAGCGGATAGACGAAGTGGTGGCGAACTGTACCTTCTCCGCTATGAAGGAGAACCCGGCTACAAATTATTCCCGTAACCCAAAGCTGCAAAATCTTTTCGGCAAGGCTGAAGAAAGTGGGCTTGAGTTCATGCGTAAAGGTACTTAGTAGTTAAAATTCCATTTGATACGCACAGTGTTTAATTGGAGAATAAACCACCGAGTGAGTGAAGCGACAGTGAGAGAAAGAGTGAGTGAGTGAGTAACAGAGAGAGAGAGAGAGAGAGAGAGAGAGAGAGAGAGAGAGAGAGAGAGAGAGAGAGAGAGAGAGAGAGAGAGAGAGAGAGAGAGTAGAGAGTAGAGTAGTAGTAGTAGTAGTAGT